ACACTTGCCAAGCAGGTACTTTACCTTCTAAGCCATACCTACAGTCCTTTAGTTGTACTTTGCCAACTACAAATATTTAGTTCATTTAGTTTATGCATCCCACTCCCCAGCCAACAGTACTGGGGATGACTAAGGGCTTTGAGTTTGCTAGTCAGCCCCTCTAGTGTCTTGAGCCATGCCACCACTCCTGGTTTGTAGATCTAAACTGATTGGCAAAGATAGTTTATTGTTAAGTTAGTTATTAGCCACTTCAGATGTTCTGTTTGAACGTTTGATTTTTATTTTCCAAAGTAAGTAAATGTTTTACTTTGTGTCTCCATGATAATTCCTTCAGTTTTTAATTCCAAGATAGATAAAATCTTATCAGTGGGTCAACTTCTGAAATAAGCCCATTTTTCTTTGCAAAGTCAGAAACTAAGAGTTATATGTTCTTTGACTGTAGTGACTTGGAAAGAGAAAAGGTCATTAATAGTAAGATATTTTTAATTGTCTTTTTTTCTTTGCTTGTTTTTTGTTTCTGTGCCCTTAGTCCCCTAAACCACCCCCTTGTTATTCACTAGAATAATCAAGACTCAGCATATAGTCATACTTAGGGCTATATGAGTTACATAATGAATATAATATTCATTGCGGTGAAATAGTACAAAGTAAAATAGCAAAGAAAAAATACCAGTTAGGAAAAAGAGCAAGTAAAGAGATAACCCAGTAGCCACTTTCATAGGCAGACTGAATTTAGGAAAATTACATCTAAAATGAGGGTCAGAAATCATTCTCTTAAGACAATTTAAATCTCAGAGTAAATCTGTTCCTTCAAGTTTGAACTTCATTGTAGAGAGGTTTTAGTAAAAACTTGGTATCTTGAATCCTGACTCTGGCAACATACCAACTTTATGCTACCTGGAAGGTTCTTTAATCTTTCTTGCTTTTGTTTTCTTGCTTTCAGTGGTGCCTGGCACTTTAATAATTGTCTGTATGAATGAGTTTGCTACTGTTTTGATACTTTTTGCTGTTAATTAATGCAAAGGCCTGTAGGACATTTTGACAGACAAGATAGGGAAGAACAAAAACTTTTTGGCATAGTAACAGTAGAAAATAAATGAAATTGTACGTGAATAATCTGTAACGCATGAGCTATCAGGTAATAAAGAGTGAGGGAAGAGTAGATTACCCCCCCAATTTCCATTTTCTCTTAAGAAGATATGACCACTGAATAAGACTTTCCAGTAATGGTGTGTGATGCTGCTACAAGTTTTTGAAATAAATCTTTCCAGAAGATTATATTTAATCCTAGAATCCAGTTTTATTCTGGTATGGTTTTGTTTGTGTTTGGAATATAAATTAATATGCCAAATTAAATAACAATGTCTGGACTTTTTTTTCCAGGAGTTTTTAAGAGATATCCTTCAATCTCCTGTTTTTTTGTTGCCCGTTCCTCAAAGACTAGGCAAGCAGCCAAAGTGCAAATCAACATTTTCCGAGAGCTGCTGCCTTATGATTTGTTAGTAGAGAATGGTGGACAGGGACTCTGTTGAGAACTAACAGACTAATACCACAACTGGGTTATGGCACAACACACATGCAGTGTAAGTATTTCTTCTTTTCCTTTCGCTTTTTTATAAACAGGAATCCAGAAAGGAAATTTTGGAGGGGACATTTGTTTTAAAGATATTCACTCTTTAATTAACTTTAACACTATAAACCGTTGTTAGTGGGATATTAAAGTTAAAAAGTAAACATTGGTTTTTAGTTTTTAAAAATGTGAAAACCATTTTTATAGATATCCTGAGTGCTTTGTGTTTTTTTTTAATAAAATAATTTAAAACCAAGTAAAATCAAGTTTTAACAGTTGCTTGAATTTTTAGACGATATTCTTACCTAATTTCAAAAGTTACCATATGTAATGTTCTGTAGGTATTACCTAGGTAGCTAGTGGAGGTAGTTAACTAAAGCATAATATGTTATGCTTAATAGTTTGTTGGGGGCATCTTTCCCTCCCTCTTTCTTCAGCAGCCCATGCACCTTACAAGTGGGACTACTGGCCTCATGAGGATGTTCGTGCAGAATGTAGATTTGTTGGCCTGACTAACCTTGGAGCTACTTGTTACTTGGCTTCCACTATTCAGCAACTTTATTGACTTCCTGAAGGCAAGACCGGCTGTCTTCAACTGCTAAGGTAGAGATTCCCTTCTCTTTAAAAAATTAAAAGTGAAACCAAATGTTAAAATTTTTGCTTATAAATCTTAATCTAAAATACTGTTTGAGAAAGGGATATATGCATAAAGAATGAGAAAATTTCATTATATAAATAGCTAGTGTGCATATTTTGTTTTTACACCGAGACTATACATAATGTTGTATGACTTTTTCTCGTTTGTGTATTTAAGTGGATGCTGGGGAATTGAACCCCAGGATGTGATGCTAAAGGCAAGACCTAATACACTTGAGCTAATGCCTCTAGTCCTAATTAATTTTCTCAAATGAAAATATGGTAGTGGGTTACACACTTAGTAATACAGTGAACATTATAT